CCTCTATTCTTTTGGTGTCCAACCTGTTGTAATTTCACCTGTGGCAACACAGCCCCCAGCACTCACACCTCTACTTTAATCAAACATGAATCCAACTTCTGCCACTTTGTCAACTCCTTCAATATTCCCTCTCCTTCAATGTTAATCCTACATTGTTCCACTCTCCACCCTTCAAGCATTGCCACAATCCTGACCGGCACAATCCCACTTCAAAGCATTCTGAAAATAAGCTCTAGCTCAAACAGTTTGACATTGGGAGAAGTTTGATGCTTAATTACTATACAGTATAGATCCAACATATTATTATGCACTGAAAATTCATAGCCTTTCAAATTCAGAACCATATATTAAAACCCAATGAATGAATGGAAATTCCTGAAGTGGATTTGTTAATGAAACATTTGAAGCGTTAAAAGAGGTACTCATTTAGTTTCAGGTATGAGGAAGTTGTTCTCAAACTGAGTACTCATTTACTTTCACACATGAGGCAGTTCTTTGTTCTCTGTACTCAACATAAATAATGACTAAATAATTGGAAAAAAAGAGGTGAGTGGGGGGTGAAGGAAACACCATTATGCCCTGTACTTATTATGATAACTGCCTCATGAGTCACACGCTCTCTTTGATTATAAGGTGCCTCCAGGTTGTTTCATCATTTTTCTTAAATAAACTATACTATATGAGAGGCTTTGAGCATTTTATAGTTATTATAACATGAATTTCTCAAATTCAGTCTCACCATTTAGAGGTCTAGACTTTGGTAGAAGCTCCCTGCTCCATGAAACTGATGTACATGCAGCAGGCAGAAAACATAAAAATCCATTTAGGTTACGATGGTAATTTAAAGCTCACTCATAGCATATGTGATTCCATTCCGATCACTTATATCACATTAAGGGAGTATTTGCTAAAGATTAAAATAAGCTCTTTCCAGCTTTTGGCTTAAAAAAAGTTGAAATGAGTGATGTCAAATGACACGTTCTCTTAAATTAATCATTTAAAAGCTAAAAACTGGAAGCGGGTTAAGAGGTGCTTTAAACTGCTTTTCAATTTTTCTATTACAAAAAAAGCACTTATTCTATCAATTATCAAACACTACCAACTTTTATTATTAATCACTTTTTTCCCAAAATCACTTTACAAAATCACTTTTTTAAAGTAGAAGCAATCACAAACGCTCCATAATAATGTTTAGTTTCGTTTTCTTCTCTAATAAAAAATGAATCAAATAGAGCCCAGAATATCAATGCATCAAAAATTGATAAATTGAAAGCAAACCTGTTTTTTCTCTCATTCAAATTGTTCCAGAATATCAAAGTTTACAAAATACACATGCCGTTTCTTCTATTATGTATAAGATTTCAACTATACCATAGAGAAAGTTGATCAAAATTGATAAATCAAAAGCAAAGTGAAAAGAAAACTAATAAAGAATATATTAAATTATGTAAGATAAAGGATAGAATTAATAAGAGTTGGAACGAAGTTATAATCTGACATGAAATGCAAACAGAATTGAAGAGCATTAAAACACCTTGTAGCTGTAATCCGTGAAACTTACCTTAGCTTCTCAATCAGGATCCGTGGGGAAAAATCCTTCTAGCGTGGATGCGAACAAATTAGCGATTGAAACAAAAAAGATTAAAACCCATTCCTGCAAAAGAAAAGCTGAAAATTTAGCAAATCCCAAAAGATTAGCAGAGATTCCAACATCATGCATGTTGCATAATAAAAGCTTCAAAAGCGTTAATACTATCCAAATTAAATCATTATGTCTATCACTTTATTACTAAGTAGTGAAAATTTGCAGTTTAACTTTATTACTAAATGGTTTGGGGAGGGGCTGTTCGGGTTATTATTGACATACTTCCTCAAGTAACCCTGCTGAATCAACTCCTCGATCGCAACCTGCAGAGCCCGGTAGTTCTCGGTGAGGTGCCCGTTCCGCCTATGATACTTGCAGAAGGCGTTAGGATCTGCCCCCATGAAATCTTTGGTATCGGTCGGGGAGGGAATAGTGCCCCTCTCCTTTTGGAATACGTTGGCAATTGTCATGACAAGTGGAGTAAAATGCCTGATCCTGGGGCGGGGTTGCGTAGTTGCTGGCATGGGACCCAGACGGTCAGCCAACCTTATAGGGGCAGGTTGTTGGGTCGTTCGGTCCCGTACCCTGATTTCCTCCTCCAGGGCCGCATGCTTCCTGTCCCTCTCTAGCACATCATCATAGCGGGTATTGGGGTTTTTCTTTAGATCCTTATACAGTTCCCCGATCTGGAGGGCATCAGTGAATAGGAGGACCGCTGTCTCATCCGTCATGCCCGTCACATTCATGGTCTCGCTTCTCCATCTGGTCAGGAAGTCATTGATGGATTCATTCGGTCCCTGCCTCACACTGGTCAGGTAACCAAAGTGTAATTTGGGGGTAGTGCTGGAAGCGAACTGTGCCAAAAATAATGTGGACAGCTCAGCAAAACTCCCAATCGATCCTGGCTGCAAGGTGTCGAACCACTCCTGTGCTGGACCTCGAAGAGTGCTAAAAAATAACTGACAAATTGCCGCATCAGTGGCCCCCAAGAGCATGAGGCCTCCTTGATAACTCCTCAAGTGCACGTGGGGATCTCCCGCCCCATCGTACGTCAGGCAGTTCGGAGGTCGACAGTCCCTTAGAATTTCCGCATTCATGATCTCCCTAGTGAAGGGAGAAGTAATCCCAACCCTAGCTGGTGGGGTTTGTTGGGGGGTCCGGCTCACCTGCTCCCTGAACTCAGCCATCTGTCTCCACATTTCGGCCATTTCCTCATCCTGGGCCATTCAGGGTGGTGGAGGTGGAGTTCTCTGGTCCATGAATTCTGGGGTTACCTCTGGAGGAGGTGCTGCTCCTCTCCTTCGGCGGATGAATCTTTCTCCATCTCTTTCCACATATTGGAAATGCTGCTCAACGGGATCTATCATGGGAGTAGGTAACCTGTAATGAGCCTCATTCCTGTGCATGACCGGTGTCCGTTTTCTGTGCCAAGGGGTGTGAGCTCTCCATTGGGCTCCCCTGTGTGCTTGGGAATGTGCTGATGCGGTGGCGGTCTCAGTATCGTCCTCTCCCTCATCAAATGACAACATGGATCAGACGGGAGAGAACGAATCGTACGTTTCATCAGAGAAAGTGGCTCCTCCCTGCTCTTGCTCATTCGCCATGCGCTGCATGGCGGCTGCCATTTCCGTCATCAGCTGAGGGTTTCTCCTCACGTCATCGGGAATGACATCCGCAAACCCTTGGGAAGTACTCCCACTGGCGTGCCCCTGCGTAGACCAGTTTGCGGAGGATCCCTGACCCCCCGTCCCCTGGTAGCGGGGCTAGGTGTTGCTGTAGCGAGTCTGACCATCTTTGAGGAAGGTGATGTTTAAATCAAACGGTTTGCTTGAAATTTTTGTTCAGTTTCCTACAGACGGCGCCAATGTTGAGGTTTAGTCTCGTAGATCCGAAAGCCCAACACACGCTTTGGATATTAAGGACGTTTGGTATTGGTTAGAAAAGGTGTATGAAAATATAAAACAGTGAATTATAACTGGACTCAGGAGCTAACTTGTATTACGTAATTCTGTGATTACAAGGGAACTACCCGAATGGTCTGTCGGTATGAGTTCAAATACAAGAACAAGAGATATGATTCTATTGCTAAGCTCTGAGTATTAAATTGCTAACCCCTTACCATGTATCCAATGCATGTATTTATACTCTGGAGCTAGGGGGGAGGTGAGGTGGTGACGTGGCCGAACCCCGTTGGCTGTTGCTCCTGCCACTTGTGCACCCATGCATGCTCCCACTTGTTATTGCCATGCTCCAGCATTTAATGCTTTCTGCCACTTGTTGGTACCCGTTCGATAACCCCGTTCGGGGTGTGGGACTCCACTGTAAGACCTCAGTGTTATTACTCCGCTAATTTGGCGCAAGTAGGAAAGTTACTGAACGCCGGTCAGGTACCCCGATCAGAATGTCCCAATGTCCTTTTGGGCTTCTTGGTCCCTCTGGGCTTCCTTGCTGCTCTGGGCCGGGTATTGGGCTTCCCAACAATAATTAACCGCATAGTTAAATAATTAAACTAAAATAGTGAATGTTATATAAAAATAGATAAGTAAGTATACTTTAAAATATATATATACTAATAAGAAATATATATACTTTAATTATTATATATAATGGTTCCTTAACAGTTCCATTTACATATTTTTTTAAGGAACAAAAAACCAAAACCGTTAATAAAAAATAGGAATCGAACGATTAACAAATACGAGTAACAATTAAATTTTGAAGCCGAACGGAAGCTAGTATAAGGGTTGGTTTGCAACTGTGGATCGTTGCGCTTACCGCTACACTAAAAGCAATCGCTGATAGTGTAGCACGCCCCTCACCATTTATAGCACATCCGAAGCGGCACGCGGTCCGATTGCACCGGCAGGCTGGCTGTTGCTGGCACCGCATACCCGCGGCCCAACAATCTCCCCCCCAGCACCTGCCAGCCTACAACTGCGCAGCATGCTGTTGCCGGGGGCCGAACCCGTGACCTTGGCTCTGATACCAATTGTGGATTGTTACGCTTACCGCTACACTAAAAGCAATCGCTGATAGTGTAGCACGCCCCTCACCATTTATAGCACATGCGAAGCGCCACGCGGTCCGATTGCACCGGCAGGCTGGCTGTTGCTGGCACCGCATACCCGTGGCTCAACAGCAACTACTTTTAAAAAAACACTTCTCAACTTTTGACTTTAAAAAAAGAACTTATTGTCCCAAACACTACAACTTTTATTTTTCTCGGCTTCCTCATCAAAAGTGCTTTTACTTTTTCTATTACACAAAAAGCACTTATTTTACCAAACACTACCCACTTTTACTTTTCAAAATCACTTTTTTCTCAAACACTATCAACTTTTATTTAATCACTTCTCTCCATTTTATTAAAAAAGCACTTTTTTAATCACTTTCTTTTTTAAAAGCCAAGCTGTTGAGGTTCGGTTCTCATGTTCTGTGTTCCGGTCCCAGTCCTACTAAAAACAGCTTGTATCTATATCGAGATCAAAATCTTGCGCCTCTCCTCAGATTCTTCTCGGTTCTCACAATTGGAACGGATCTGTCGTGAGTTCAGCGAAACACGAAGCATTAGTAATTTGGTTTTGTACAGTAAGTGTTTCATTGTAAGTTCCGACCTCGTATTTTGTTTCTATGCAGATAATGCGAGTCGATTATGGTATACGCGTTGAACGTCTGTCGAAGGAGATTGCAAACTTCGATCCAAAGATACCATGTTCTATCTCCCACGACGATTCTCTCTCCGATGACGAAGTCGATCCGCCTTCTCCTAAGAAGCCAAAGATTGAAGAGGAAGAAGGAGATGACGTAGGAAGTAAGAGCGATTCCGAAAACCACAGTCCTAAATGGAACATCGCCAGAGAAGCGGCATACGATAAGTACATGGAGTATGTCGAAGAGCATCAAGTAAATAAATCTATCTATGTTATTTAATTATGAAGTATTGAAATTGTATTTGCTCATCTTATAGAACCTGTCTATCTAATCATCCATTCAGGGGTTTGATGTGAATCGTGAACTTCTTCCTCCATTTGGTTTTCCTGGGTACTGTGGCATTTATCCTGTGGACTTTGATGTACATAAAGATTCTATCATAATGGTTAAAGAGGCCACATTCCTCGCCATTAAGAGATACAATCAACGTGCTCCGGTTTGTTTATTTGACTTTAGCTGCCTTTTGTTACCCTACATATTCACGATCATTTGACAGATGTTTTTTCATATGAACTATAATGCAGGGCTCACAGTTGGAATTAGTTGAAATAATAAAGGCTAATAGATCTGCAACCAATTACTATATAACTTTTTTGGGTAAAGAAGTTAACACCGGGAAATACAGAAACTATCAAACAAAGGTGTTCCACATGCACTGGGCTGGTGGACGCAAAGTTCGTACTCAAGTTATCTTTGTGAGGCCAGAACCCGAACCAGGTACCCGAAAAGAAGGGAATGCAATAAACGTAATACGTAGTATGCTATGTGTGTGTGTCTAAGATGAAAACCTTAGCTTATCTCTATTTTTATTACTAGTATCTTTTAACCATAGCTATGGCACACCTAGGCGCAACTACTGTGCGCTTCTTTAAACTTTTAAGCGTACAAATAAGGCCATAATTACTATGGGCATTAACACATCCAAAGATGCGCAGAAATATAGCGCGTATGGTGCAGGCGATGGTGAAGGCGCAGACATTGCGACGCCACAGGTAAACGCATCGCCAGACTTAGGTAATGTGGCGAAGCCCTCTCCAAATGCCAATGGCAACAAATGGTGATCGTCATTTGCGCTATCAACGACTCGGGTTGCGAGATTTCCAATCTCGGCAACTTGAATAGTTTGATAGTTGATACTATGGTGTTTTGTCTATTAATTGCAGCAACTGTTTATTGGGTGATGTTTTTTAATTGTTGCTAGGCTACATTTGGGTAATTACTTAATTGTAACTATTTTGTCACTGGACTGGCCGACCTGAGTCTCTTATATTTTTCTGGAACTATTTGCTTCAATTCTGAATCAAATGTGCAATAAATATTGCGAGACACCTGATTCTTCTTCACGTTTATACATGATGTATTTTTGTTGTAAGATTTCCAATCTCGGCAACATGTTTCGTGAATAGCTTGATAGTTTATGCTGACAACTTTTGTGTTTTGTCTATTAAATGCAGCAACTGTCTATTGGGTGATGTTTTTCCATAGTTGGTAGGCTACATTTGGGTGATTACTTAACTGTAACTAATTTGTCACTCTTTGTGGAAAGGAATGAAAGGGGAGGACGAAGACGAGGATGAGGATGAGGATGAGGATGAGGTTGAGGAGGTGGACGAGGATGTAGATGGTGATGGAGAGGGAGATGGACTTGTGAAAAATAACTAATACGGAAGTATGATGGAGATGCAGTCATGCAGACCAGGCGATAAGATATTATGGAGAAAGTAATACTGCTTAGGCAGGCACCGGCAAAACACAAGCTAGTGACTTTACACAGTAACAAAATTTGTGACGGTGTGCTTGACCATACACTGAAGCTATTTTTGTTTCTGAATCTATTGGCGGTTAATCAAACTGTGTTTGTTAGATCTTCGGAAGTGTTAAAGCTATTTATCATCTTACAATTAAATTGCTCTATTTATGATCTAATTGGGCAAAACTGAGTTTATATATTCTAGTTAATAGAAGAATATGCTTGTTCAAAATTCGTGAATTACCTAGATACTTAACATTATGATCTTAGATTAGATTCATGCTTGTTTTGTCTGATTGAGGTACCTTACGTTCTTACAATAGATCCTTATAATGTAGACATGTAGTGTTTTGATCTTCAGGTTACTCCTTTCTATCAAGAAACTATTTTCTTGTTATTATTGAAACTAAAGGGCCAACGCCTGCATACAAAACTTGGGTTGCTTCTTTATGCACCCATCATTGCTTGTTTCGAAACTTTATTTTGCAAAAGGTGGGATTAAATTGTCCATCAATGAGAAAAATATGACGAGGTTAGAAAACCCTATGAAGTACAAAACTGCTGCAAGAGTATTAGTGTACCTTTCATTTTCATCTAAATTCTCACTACTCCATTGACTGCTCGACATTTTTTCTTAGGCCAAATTACAAATTAGTAAAAAAAAAAAAAGATACTTTGCCAAATTGGGAAAAAAATCAGTTGAGTCAAATTGGTAAAAATTTAGAGCTCCTGTGACAAATTGGTCAAATATTTTGAGTGAGACACTTGATTCTAGATTTTGAAATTTTCGATATTTCATATTTTAAGTATTGTGATATTGACATTTCCAGTCATTCTACTCAAGAACTAAAAATGTCAACTGACGTACTTACGCAATGGTAGGCAACTAGGCGGTAGGCATTTGTGATGCTAGTTGGTCGATAGAAAAATTAAAAGTTACGGAGTTCTTGATTAATATAGGGGTTACCGAATATGATGTTATTTCAATTTAAGGCCCTTTAATCCTTGTCCCAACAAAGCTCCTCTTAAGTTAATTGACCGATTTTTTTTTAGAAATGTCTGCCCATTTAAAATCAAATTGGCATGAAAAGCATAGCACTAACTCTAAAAAGAATTATGGTGAATGGATCTACTGAACGATTGAACTCTTTGTCATGGAAGAAAATGTTTAATGTTTTCTGTGAATCAATTGAATTGCTATCGAGTTACTCTCAATCATTTAAGTGCCAAAGTCAATTTGGACAACTCTTGGTGGTTGTTTGGGACTTACTAAGATATAAAGATAAAGATAATGATATGGACCCCCTCTAATGAACTTTAGTATTAAATTAATTTGGGTCATTTAAGGCAACTAATTAATTGAATTATATATTGCATTCTAAAAATAATGGGCTGGTCCTGCTAAATTCTCTATTTTGTGCTTGAAACAAATAGTGATTTAATATATAAGAGACATGATATAATTATGAAGCGGATGACAAACCTAGTTAAGAAAGTTGTACAGATACATCACATAAGTTCTGATTTTACTAGTTATGAAAAATTCAAGTAAATGATGGCCAAAATTCCATTACAATTGAAACCCTGGAGAAAAATGGGAGAAACTCCTAGACAAAGAAGGGTATTTTTAATCACAACCCCCAAATTGATTTGCGAAATTAACTTTTCTTGGTCAAACGGTTTCATTTTATTCACTTAATTAGAATGTCAATTTTTAATTATATTTAATTTGGAGTTTGCAATTTTGAAGAGATTTAATATAATGTGGTTCCTGAATATGTAAATTTTAATTATTAAAAATTGAATTAATTATCAATAAAGAGGATTTAATTTTAACATTGGTTGACCAAAAAATATGTGGAAATTTCCCATACGGTCCACTTTTATATTTTACATATCATTTTTGTTCACCAACATATTACATTTCAAATTTAGACTTTCAACTTTTCACTTTTCAGTTTTTATTTCAAAAAGAGTCTAATCAAAACCGACTCTACATCGACCTTCATCTCCGGAAAGTTTCTGTTTGGCTTCCCTATTTTCATCGATCTCCTCAACGACTTCTCTTCTCTCAGTGACTTCACTTCAACCGCGACACCGGCTCTCTCTCAATCGGTCTTTCTCCAATCTGCAATTCGATTGTGGAACAGATGCAAGGCTTATTGGCACCTGTTTTGTTCTTCACCATCGCCTGTTCTTCACCGTCACATGGCTTTGCAATCTTCAACCGTTCCTTATCAACCGTCCGTTGCTCGTCGCCTACCTAGTCCTCAACTGGTGCGACACCTCCCACGGCTCGCCGTGTGCCGCAGCTGGCCAATTCCTGGTAGTGTGCCGTTTTCTTCTTACTCCATTGCTCGACGCTAGAGACTTCAATTCAGGTTAGTTTTCTTCTAATTTCACCTTTATTTTTGTTTATAGATTCTCGATTTCAATCTCTCAACATTAGTTTTTAGTTTTAGCCTTAATTTTTGTTTGCTTATTTTGTATACTGATATGCGTAGTAATAAAGTTGAAGCTAAGAACTGTTTTGTAACGATAAGCGCTCATATCCTTAATTGTAAGGCATTAGACCTGAAATCTGGATATGTGAATGATGATTTCAAAAAAAGGAAGACTATGTTTTAAAGTCAGGCTTTCCATCCGCATTTTGAGATTTTTAACTTGTCATATTTCATTATTTTGTAAAACGTACTCTGTATATACCTAGGACCCTATTGTTTTATCTTTGGTTGTAATTTTGTAAAACGTATATGCCTACTATCTCATTCTACAGAAGTTTGTTTCTTACATGTTTGAGTATTTCTTAGTGATGTGAATCCTTAAATCAACTCACCTAATCAAATGAGATAATTTCTACTATCTCATTCTGCATAAGTGATAGCTTTTTATTTACATTAGGCAGGAAAATAATTATAGTTGGTTTTAGTGTGAATTTTGGTTGTTCATCTCTAAGTCTAAATCCTCCCCGCTTTTTATAACCTAGGTTTTCAGTAAAGCTTGGACAGACTCTAAGAACCCTTATTGACGCAATTTCGGAGAACCTGATGTTTTTTTATGTTAAGTTATTTTTATATGTAGTTCTAATATGTTCACCCAGTTTAACCTACATCCAAACAATCTTTTTAATTCAAGAAGGTTGATCCGATGAAACACTAAAATTATTCACTAACTCACCTGCGCACTTGTAGAATTCAGGAACGATTGATGACCAGATAAACATTTTATTGAAACTGTCTTTCTATATGCCGCAGGTAGATATACATGTAATTTAATTATGTGGGTTCATGTGTAGCAGGTGGTTTAACTTGTGAGTTGAAAATACTGGGTGAAGTGTGGATTCTAAGAGTGCTACTTATTTATTGACGGTAATTTACCCAATGTAGCAGAAACATTAATATATGCATCTAACTTCACCCAATTTTACCTAGGTTCTCTCTGAAAGTCCACCAAGTTTACTTTAAGTTTTCTGGAAATCACATGAGTATCATCATAGTATTTTGAGTATTTTCTGATTATAAGTCTATTGTATGCTCACAAAATCCGTTTCTGATGAAGATCACTTGAAGGAGAGTGATACATTTGCTGTTTCAACACCGAAGAATACACGCTTGAAGGGATATAGTAGAGATCAACATTGTTGTGATTTGCATTTTGTTGGAAGATAGGAGGAAGTTGTGGATTAGAATGGTATAACACACACGAATTTGCTGGGGAGGCTGAAGGAAGATGCCAGTTTGAATGACACAGCTTATACAAATTTGCTGGGGAGTTGGAAGGATGGAGTATATAAGTCTCTCAGGCTGATTTGTGATGTGCCTGTGAATGTAAGCTTGAGTGGGAAATTGATAGATGTTGTACCTCAAACTTCTGCTAAGGGATCAACATGTGACACATTAAGCTCACCTGCATCAATGGGTAGCCAGAAAGAAAAGATGTCATGGGTCTCATGGACAAATATGCCTCAAAAGGATGAGCTTGAGGCAGAGGAAAAACCAAGTCAATTGATTCTGTTTGGATGTTAGGTAATGAGAACACTTTAGCTGTGAATGGAACTGCTGAGAAGGTGTCTACTGCCAAAGGTGAAGCTCTCAAGGGAGAGAGGGAACAGATCTGCTTTTATAATGTCAAATGGAAATAGGATTCCATATGTTTGGAAAAGGTTAATGGGAAAGTTGTGAATATTATATTAAATTGAATATTTGTTGTGATACTCAACTATTATTTTTTGTTGCTTTTTGTTGTACCACATGTATTGCATTTTGTTGCATTCTGTTGTTTTTTGTTGCATATTGTTGCTTTTGTTGCATTGTGTTTCATATGATTGTTTATTGTCGATTTTGATTTTTATTCTTTATTTAGGTTTCTATTTATTTTTCCACATCTTTAAAATAGAAATATGTGTACAGTTTAATTCTAAATCATTTAGATACAAACACTTAAAATATTAAATTTTGATTTATGAATATGAAAACAAAACTGAAACACTAAGAAACAATAAAAAACATAATTTTCAGAATTATCAACAAAAAGAAACAAAAAAGAAACCATAAGAAACAAAAACTAACAAAAAATGACAATACTAAGAATTGAAATTTTAAGTACTTTAAGAACGATTACATTAGAAAATTCCTACTTCTTACCTTTTTTGAATATGTAATTATTTCTCACGCTCATCATTTTAATTTTCTGAGATTACATTAATTTTGTATTAGAATTTGTATATTATTATATTAGAAAATTCGTATTCTTTATTTTTCAAACTTTTTAATTTTTTCCTAACGTTAGTTTTTTTAATATTTTTCATTTTTTATTCTCTAATTTATTTTAATATTACACTCTTTTAGGTTACAATAGTTTTCTGATTTTTATATTCCTGTATAATATTTTTTTTAATTTTATTTTCATTTTTCACATTTTTATTTCTTAGTTCTTATCTTTATACTTTTGTTTATTTTCTGTTTTTATTTTAAATTTATTTTCAGCTTTTATTTTATAAGATTTTCTATGAGTTTTTTAAATTTTATAAATCTATACATTTATATTATTTCTTAGGTTTTTAGTTTTTATATATTTTGTCTTTTTTATAAAAGTACTCTTTTTATTAAAAAAAACTTTAAATTATTTTCATATTTTTAACTAATAGTTTCAGAACATTTTATCTTATTTTACGTATTTTGTCCATAACATTTAGCCATTTAGGTTTTCAGAATTTCAATCTTTCACACACTTTATAGTTTACAATAATGTTCTATTTTAATTTTTTTTTTTTTTGCATTATGTATTCTATTTAATTTTACTTGAAACATTAATATCATTTTTTGAATATTTTAAACTTGACGTGTTTATTTGAATTTGAAAGATTATTACTATTTCATATTTTCCAATTTGAAAATTTACTCTTTCTTAAAAAATAAATAGTTTTCATATTTTTAATAGTCTCAGCATTTATTTTAATCTTATTTTACATTTTGATAGTTTTTTTTTTAAATTTAACTTATAGGTTCAATTGGCATTTTTATTACAACTTTTTTTATTTTATTTAATTTGAGTTTTCTTTAGTTTCTCATACTCGTGTTTTTTAAGACTTTAATTATCTTTTCAATGATTTAGTTCATTTGATCATTTTGATGTTTTAATAAATATTTGCGTTTTTATTTTATTTTAAAAAACTAAAAATGAATCATTCCTGGAACTTTTATTACATAGAGAAGTTCATGAAGTTAAGAGTAGAGGCACCCAGCACCCTATACGTAGAGACATGCTCATCAACAGGGAGCTGCTACACGGAACTTATCTCAGGAGCAGATACGAACTTTGGCCTATTTGTGAAAGAAAAAAGGTAAGTAGTCTATTTTTGATAAAAACTTCCGTCAGCGACAAAAGTGATACGTAGTATATTTTTCACTTTTTAACTTATTTCTGAAATTTTTCGAAAAAATATTGACTTTGCATATCAATCAAGGGTGTATGTACCCTGATCCCGGCCCACTCAATTTTAAAATTGTCCATATTTTTTAGCATAAAAAAATTCCGTGTAAAGATTTTTTCAAAAATATTCTTTGTACTAGTCGAGTCCGACCGAGTGCTCTGGTTCAACCCCTGGTTATAATCGACTAAATAAGTAATTTTCCGTTAATAAAACTAAACAATAAAATTATTTTATTCCGTGCATGGCACCTTTAAACATACTAGGATGTGGTCCAATCAAATGAAGCAGTTGAATTATTTAAATCTAAATTAAAAATGATAAAGTGATGTGGTCCAATCAAAGGAAGGATATGTATAGTACCCATTTTTTAGGAGGGTACCGGTTGTCACCTTACTAAAATGCATGGCCCAAACATGCATCCTTGCTTCGTTTTCAAGCACTAAAAACAGGGTGCATCTCCCCAGTTTCTTCCCACGATAGGAACCGGTCTGTCGGGAGTTAAGCAATATACGAAGCATCTGTAATTCGGTTTTGTACAGTGATTGTTTCTTTGTATGTTCCGACCTCGTATTTTGTTTCTATACAGATAATGCGAGTCGATCGGCATTTACGGGTTGAGCATCTGGAGAAGGAGCTTGCAGATATTGATCCACGTATAACTTGTTCATTCTCGGACGATGATGAAGTCGATCCGCCTTCTCCTAAGAAGCCAAAAATTGAAGAGGAAGACGGAGATGACGTAGGAAGTAAGAGCGATTTCGAAAACCACAGTTCTAAATGGAAAATCGACAGAGAAGCGGCATTCGATAAGTACATGACGTATGTCGAAGAGCATCAAGGAAATAAATCTAGGAAAAATTGAAAATAATAATCCCAACTATTGTCGGTCCGCCGACAATAATCCCAACTATTGATTATTTTTGTATAATCCCAACTATATGGGCCGTCCGCCAATAATGGTCCATGACCAAATATTACCTCCTACAAAATGTGATTTTTAAATTGAAATTAAGTGTAAAAATTAAAAGTTGGGATTATTTATAAGAATTACTTATTATATCTCTTCTTATCCACTTTAAAAACTACAAGAATTTATTTATAGGGACTATTATTGGCGAAAGGTCCCTAAAGTTGATATTATTCTGAAATAATCGATACTTGGGATTATTATGGTCGGACCGCCAATAGTTGGGATTATTACTATCAATTTTTCCATAAATCTATCTATGTTATTTAATAATGAAGTATTGAAATTGGATAACGCTAATTGTATTTGCTCATCTTATAGAGCCTGTCTATCTAATTATTCATTCAGGGGTTTGATGTGAATCTGGACCTTATTCCTCCTGGTGGTTTTCCCGGGTACTTTGGCATTTATCCTGTGGATTTATTTTGATGTAAATCCCGGAATTAACCAACTTGTTAAACAGGCCACACACCTCGCCATTAAGAGATACAATGATCGTACTCCGGTTAGTTTATTTGACTTTAGTTGCCTTTTGTAACCCTACATACTCCAATCTATTTGACAGATATTTTTTCATATCAACTATAATGCAGGGCTCAAGGTTGGAATTAGTTGAGATATTAAAGGCTAATAGAAGCACAACCATATACTATATAACTTTTGTGGGTAAAGAAATTGACACTGGGCATTGCAGAAACTATCAAACAAAGGTGTGCCATATGTTCTGGGCTGGAGACATAGCCCGGACTAGAGTTTTCTTTGTGAGGCCAGAACCCGAACCAGGTACCGGAAAAGAAAGGAATGCAATAAACTAATACTCCGTATGAAATATATATGTCTGTGTGTCCAGGTTCGAAATTGCATATTTGAGGCGTTTTTTTTTTATCAAAACAATAATGAAATGAAATGGTGGAAATCGTTGGTTAAAACATAAGATAATAGAATTTTTCAATGCGAAACTCCAAATATATTAGTGTATGTCATTCTCCCTCCCTCCGATAAAACTTAGTCAAATTTCCTTTTTTATTTGTCTCGAAAAAGTTGTCACTTTCTAATTTAGGCTAACACATTAAAAGAAATACTTGTATATAGTTTTACCCTTCACCCACCTATTCCCACCCACCATAGCCCCATCTGAATCATATGTGCAATAGATATCGCGAGACACATGATTCTTCTTCGTTTTATACATGATGTATTGTGGTGCTGGATTTTCAATCTCGGGCACTTGTTTCATGAATAGCTTGATAGTTGATACCAACAAATCTGGTCTATTAAGTGCAGCAACCTGTATATTGGCTGATGTTTTTTAATTGTTGCTTGGCTACATTTGGATAATTACTTAACTGTAATTAATTTGTTACTCTTTGGGGAAAGGAATGAAAGGCGAGGACGAGGATGAGGATGAGGATGACGATGAGGATGAGGACGAGGCCAAGGCCGGGGACGGGGATGGGGATGCAGATGAGGATGGTGATGAAGCTTAAGCATTTGTAAATCAAGTGCATCACTTATTTGTTTCTTCCTTTCAATCTTTTTGCAGGAGTGATAAAGCTTTATTTATAGGTTCAAATGGTTCCATTGTTATTAATCCTCAAATTATCACCCAGAATTGAGTCACACTTAAGTTGAATGATTCTAAAATGATTTTCCCTATAAAGCACATGTTACAACAACTCGCATGTACACCGATTAAGGGCTCAACAAATAGTCTCAAATAGGATCCCAGCTGTCAAAACCATCTCTTTTTCTTTTCATCAGGTTATTATAATAGTGAATCAATGGTTTTGTGAAATTGCTCCTCTCCACTCAATTGACAGTTTTCCGGACCATTAGTGTGACTATACCTTTCTAGGATTTCTCACCATAACTCACTTGATGATTACTCAGATCATCAAAGAAGTCTTAATATTGTGAAGTGTGAGATTTTTGTGGACATGAATCTGAAACAGCTTATATGGCATAGTTGGAGATCAATTCAGAAATGAATTTGATATTTTGTACTTAAATTTAAAGATGATGAACTAATATCATGCTTGAGCTGTCCGTTCATTTCCATACTGTGATTCCATGTGAAACTATGCCTTCGCCATTGTCGATTTGTATGTTACAGAAATACAGAGTAGCAATATTAGTCCACTGTATTAGTTGAAGATTTTCAGAAGAGAAAGGCAAATGAATGTTTTCAGCTCAAAGGATATGTATTAGTCATTCAAGAAGTTTTGTATACAAGTGGAAATATCTAACCATACAGTTTGTGTATCTAACTGACTAGCTAGCTTTCTTACTAAAGAGTGCCACATCAATAGCGGTTAGGTTTGATTATATATTGGAAAAATTACTATACCCTCCTTCTCGTAAGTTATTTAAATGGGAATAAAACAATAAGAAAATGCAAAACTAGGAGTGTCATATTTTTCGAACTTCTAAAATATAGTAGCTTGACAAAATTAACCCTTTAATATATAAAACTCCAGTTTTTTCTATTGAGCCATCGCCACCACCCTCCTATAAGTCCCTTGCTGATATCTCGCGAGAATGTCATGTTGATAAGAATAATAACATTTTTTTTTAATGGAAAGAAAATTTTATTAATAATAAGCAAAGCAAAGTACAAAGAGTGAAGGGAAAAGAATGAAAAAAAAGAACAGGTAAACAAAAACAAATAAACAAAATAGAAAAAGGAAAAGACCCAACCCAATTCAACACAAGTAAAACCCGCCCTAGAGATCTCTAAGCCCTTAAATTAATTTTCACAGCTCCGCTCGTGTTTGAGATCTGGTCCTCATAAGATGCGACCTCTGATTCTTTTTCCGGTACATTCTTTTTTCACGTCTCATAGAATAATAACATATTAATGACATTTTTGTATAGAAATATGACGTTTGCATGTGAACAATTTTTAGATGAAACATATATGCATTTTGAGGCAAACAATTTTGGCATTTTTGTGACTACAAAGTATGACAAATTTATACATTCAGTGCCACAAAAATAGGAAAAATGTAAAAAATGGCATTACAAATGCTATGATTTCAAAGTAATTATATTGCCATAGTATCAATAATTATGACATTCTTAGATTAGAAAGTGACGTTTTTTGACATTTTCCTGAAAATTAGTAGTTTAGGGTATTTTGAAATTCAATATTAATAAAATTGAAGATCTGATTGGTTCTTCTTTGTTGAAATGTAACTGTTCATCTGAATTTTCAAAATCACATTTTTATTTAGAATCTCGTTATTGATAAAAAAAAAAGTAGAGCACCAGGAGGAGGAGAACGATAACCTATGTAATAAATTAGTGCTTCGTGTATTATAACTGGAACACTCCTGTGTAATTGTTATTAATTACTTCTTGATCTTTAAAAGTTGCAAGTGAAAATGGTCAAATAGGGTCTCGAATTTACATAAAAATGTCAAATAAAATCTTATATAGGAGGTTCTGTCCGGCCGTCGCCATTTGGGGCGGTTCCCGGTGGATTTGTTTGATGAAATTTTTTGAGCATCTAATTCATTAAGTCTAGTTTATCCATACCAAATTTTATCTAAAACTTCAATCGGGAAGGCATTCAAATAAATTTTTGAAAATAACTGCTTTTTTGGAATAAGTAAATCGAATTGAATATCATCATATGCATTTTAAATAAAATTAAAAAAATTGGGTGTTATATGTTTATTTCCAAGCAACTTCAAAATTTTCATCTATTAATATTTGTTAACATAACAAGGGAATGGGAACTGAGGCATGTTTAAGTGATTTAGGTGTTGGTGTGAATACTGGAGGTGTGATAAAACAGCGTGGAATCTGTTTTGAACTGGGGCATAGGGATAACATGCATACAATCGGGTGTGCATGTAATATCTGGTAGCGTGCTAGGTGTAAACACCGCTGATGTGAGGATCGAGGTGGTCCTAAGGTGTTCTACACACACTATCTATTTGAACAAATTGTACTTTGGAGGTGAATTTGTTGTTGATTTTGATTTCGGTTGGCTAAGTGGTAGAGCCTTATGATCTACTGTAATGGGAAGTTTGTCTGGATTATGCGCCTAAAGTGTGACAACACCTATGTATTTTGCCCATCAAACTAAAATCTTGTGACATTTTGAAAAGATTGTTTAGTCTTTTCTAATCAAGTATTGTGTTTAATGCACATCATATATCTTGTTGTACCCATACTAATCGGTCTATTCTTAGGTAAATGATGCTGGATTCAGGACTTTAGTTATGATTAAGATAACTAAGAAGCTGTTCTCTTCGCCTGATCTGAATGTTTCTGATCTGAATTCTTTAAGTTCTGATCCGATCTGATCTGAATTTTTCTGATCTGATCTGATCTGAATCTTTCTGATCTGATCTGATCTGATCTGAATCTTTCTGATCTGATCTGATCTGATCTGAATCTTCCTGATCTGATCTGAATGTTTCTGATCTGGTCTGATCTGATCTGAATGTTTCTGATCTGATCTGAATCCTTCTGATCTGATCTGAATCTTTCTGATCTGATGTGATTTGGATATTTTTATGATTATAATTATAATTATAATTATTATAATTGCAATTACAAATATAACTTAAATAAAATTATAATTATAATCGTAACTATAAAAATAATAATAATAATTAAAATTAAATTTAAAATGAAAAAATTTATACAAATTACACTAATTATAAATATAGATATAATTATAATTGTAATTATATTTTTAATTATAATTACTTATATAATTATAATTGTAATTATAATTACAATATTTATCTCTATAATTGTAACTATAGTTATCAATATTATTATAATTACTCCGTAAAATAATTACAATAGTAACAACAACAATAATAATAATAATAATAATAATAATAATAATAATAATAATAATAATAATAATAATAATAATAATAATAATAATAATAATAATATTAATAATTATAATAAAAATAATAATTATAATCATAAATTATAACTATAATATAATTATAAGTATATTTATAATTAATAATAATTATAATTATATTAACATTAATTATAATATTATAATATAATAATAGTAATATAAATACAATTAATATTATTATAACGATATTATTATATTAATATTATTATTACAATAACAAAATAATAATAATATTATTATTATATTTAGTATTATATTTTTATAATATTATATTATAATTATAATTATAATCATAATTATAATTATGATTGTAATTATAATTATTATAATTATAATTAATTCCAATTATAATTATAATTAATTATAGATATAATTATAATAATTACAATTGATATACTTATAATTATAAGAATTATAATTGTAAGTATAATTATAATTACATATAATTATGATATAATATTATAATAATATTAATCATATTATTATTATTATATTGTAATAATAATAGTCTTCTTAATAATTGCATTTATATTACTATTATTATATTAAAATATTATAACTATATTAATATCTTATTTTTTTTATCATATTATTATTATTAATATTATTAATAATAATTATATAATAATAATCATAATAGTAATAACAATATTAATAATAATAATTAATATAATAATAAAAGTGATAAATCATGTTTGAACTTTTCTGATTTGATCTGATCTGAATGTTTCTGATCTGGTCTGATCTGATCTGAATCTTTCTGATCTGATCTGAATCTTTCTGATCTGGTCTGATCTGATCTGAATCTTTCTGATCTGATCTGATCTGATCTGAATCTTTCTGATCTGGTCTGATCTGATCTGAATTTTTCTGATCTGATCTGATCTGATCTGAATAAAATAAGAATAAGTAATAAGTAATAAGTAATAAGACGAACAGAACAGCACCTAAGTTATGTGTAGTGGGATCCAGCCCAGGTAAATTCTTTCAACAAATAACGCATTTTACAGTTCAGGTTATTGATGTTAGGCATTGTATCAAGCATGTTATTACTTCATGTGCATTTGAAAATATTTGATGTTGAGATGTTGTACTTTGATGTGTCTAAGGAAAAATATTTGTTGAGTTTTATGTTCACATAGGACATCATAGACAGTGATGATAAATAATGAGTGATGGACAAACAGTATTACCACTTTTGCTCCATGGTCATGCATGTCGTTTTCCGCATCCATCTTGACTTCAGTCATCCTGCAGATATAAACCGCGAGTCTAAACTTTTTTTTTCTGTAACTATATTTGACAAATTGAATGCATCAAAATGATATTTATGATGTAGTTCTTACCTTTAGTTTGAATGTATAGCTTCAATGCTAAATCAGATAGTCCATTGTAGTCTAATCAAATATGTCTTGATTAATCATTTCAGCCAAGTTGAGACACAACCTTGTCTCGTTTAGTCTCAGGGCCGGCCCAGGCCAGGTGCAGGCTGTGCAATGGCACAGGGCCCATGAAAATTGAAGGCCCAAAAAAAATTAGCAGTAATATATTATATATAGTAAATGCGAATAAAAACCAAATACTTCACGTTGGCAGAGCGGTAACCAAGAGAGGATGTCCCATTAAGCGCTTCTACAAAAGGTCCTGCGTTCGAGACTTGGTGCAAGCGTTTTATTTTTTGTTTCTTTTGCTCTTTCAAAGCCTTAAATCATTCAAAGTGGCTTTACTTATTTGTATTACATTTTTTTTCTTTTCAAAAAGATTTTTTAACATGATTTTGAACAAATAACATACACATGTGATAAAAATTGATTTGTAACAAAGTGAAAATTATTTATTTTAAGCATGATATTATAATGACTTTGTCTAGTGAATATTTTGTTATCTATGTTTGTCTTTACAATTTTTTTAATGGATTAGTTGATTGACATTCGTGAGATAATATCTAAGGCAAGTTTCCCCACCACACGAATTTTTCTGAATACGCCATTGAGCATTTTAATAGCAAGACAACTAACGAGACAACAAAGTGTGAAAGTAAACACTCACGAATTTTGCATTTGCATTGAATAAATTGATATTAAGTCTGGTTAAAAAAATTGATATTAAGTCATTAGGTAAATACATTTGGTTTCTCTTTACATTAAAAAAAGGCCCATTTTTTTTCTTTGCACAGGGTCCTCGAATTCTTAGGACCGGCCTTGCCTTCATGGGAGCCTCAAGAGCGGACATGCACTGTTCCTACGTCCCATTCTCAAGCATCTGTAATATATACCCCATATTAGAGATGACTTGTAGTTACTTTGATTGAATAATGGAATTCATCATAGAAAATATCACTTACTCATTTGTGTTCTTGCACCACCTGAATGACCTCATTTTGAAGATCATTGCTCCTTATTTCCTGAAGGAAAAAAAACATCAGAAAACCACTCTCACAAATAATTTAGAGCAAACAGCATTGGGCTAGAGTTATCTCTTACCTGCCAACTTGCAATTGAATTGCACTCAAAGCCCCCGACGGATTTGCTCTGACCTGCAAGTTGATGAGATGCCAAATATTAACTGGTTCCCCAAATTAAATTTGACACACTAGAAAGAAAGGAGACATACCATTTCACATAACCCTCGAAATGCCTCCTCCTCAAAATCATCACATATCCTGTCACAACAAAGCCCAGAATCAATAACACACGCACATATATAAGAATATTTGTTCATTAGACGAAAAAGGGATTTAAAAATAAAAATTAAAAGATGGTGTAATTGACTAGTGCTTGCGTGCGACAGGCTCCATCAATTGAGTGCACAATATGAAAATATATGAAGAAACACATACAAGGAAACATCAAGGATCTGACTTAACCATGCCATATGAGTTACTTAGATAATGCAATCCATTCTTTAATTACACATGTTAGAAAAGAAGACACTTCATTGAAAAGAGAATAAAAAAACAAAAATATAAGCAAAATAACAATCGCATGATAGTAGCATGCCGGAGAGATTAAGTTGACAAAGCCATGCACCGCGCTTGCATGAAATGGTCCATATGTGGTGAAACGAGCTCTGGACAGTCCCAAGCAAGTCTTCCAAGAGTTATAGCGCTATTTTCTACCAGTGACTTGTTGAGTTCCTTCACAGTATAAATATATTCATTTTATAAGAAACAAAATCCATCTCCCTAGCCATTATGCCACACTTCTTGAAGAAAAACTAGAACATGTATGACAATTGACCAGTGAAGTAGTCAAGAATAAGCACTGACACGAATAAAAAAAAGCAGTTCAAGGATATTACCTTGGCATGTTGAAGAATTGGCACCAAGCATGAGATCACTGCCAGCACAACCGAAGATATTTCTTTACGAACCTGAAAGTTAGACACAAGTCTTCCAAGAGCTGTTGAGTTCCTTCACAATAAATATATTCATTTTATAAGAAACGGAATCCATATTCCTAGGCATTATGCCACACTTCTTTCTTGAGGTAAACAAGGACATGTATGACAATTGACCAGTGAAATTATCAAGAATAAGCACTGATACGAATCAGGAAAGCAGTTCAAGGATATTACCTCAGCATGTTGAGGAATTGGCAACCAAGCAAGCATGAGATCACGGCCAGCACAACCGGGGATATTTATTTGCAAACCTGAAAGTTATTTCCAAAGCTGAGCCAATCTGTTAATCACGCTCTAACCCCCAGGCCTTCAGTCATCAACCAGGCATGGTTTCTGGTCTCTTGATAATTCAAGGATTCAGAGGTACGATCCTATAGAACAGATCCTGTTCAAGTAAGGTCGCGACTAGTCCGCTCATCTTCCTTCTTTTATTAAGCCATTTATCGCTTGAAGTAGCTGCATGATCCTGGCATCAAGTCGCAGATCTTCTCGCCCTTTTAGCAAAATCATGTACTTTTCACCATCAGACCCCAGAATCCAAAGCTTTTTGAGTTTTGTCTTGGTTGATAAGATAGTTACTCCCTTGGGAGCAGTATTACCCTCTTCTGATTCAGAATATATTATTTGCTTCTCAAGACATAGGAGCACCAGATGTTGAGAGAGGTGCCAGCTGTGGAGCAACTTCTCCTAGTGATACCGATGACTTTCTGTGATAAGATGCTAAAGAGGCAGCAACGTTGTTAAATGGACACCAAACATCTCCTAATGCAGCATTGGATGCAGGAGGTATCTTGAAGTTTATAATTGCAGATTTAATTTGATCTTTGAATACTTCATCGAACTACATTTCATGGGGCGTTTCAGGTTTTCGAGAAGTAGAAGATACACCGCTTCAAAACAACAACTATAGAGCCATCATTGCTGAGTACTTAGCAGCATTTTTCTTACTCTTCTCCCCATGGCTAAGAGTTATATTGTCTGCAAACTCGCAGCTTCATTTTCAGCAAATGTATCTGTCTCATTACATCTAACCAATGGTACATTTAACACAAAAGTTCAAAAACATGAAAGCCTTAAGGTGCTTAGAGTAGACAATGTTATCCATTCTTTAATAAAACGTGTTAGAAAAGAAGACACGTCATCGAAAAGAAAGGAAAAAACACAAAAACAAGGCAAAATAATAATCACATGAGGTCATGATTCTAGTCTAACTGCTAATCACCTATGTGCACTCCTTCAAGGAAGTCCTTCTGGCCTCCCTTTTCTCGTTAGAGTCATTCACTTAGCACTAACATTACGAGATAATGATAAACTCTTGTTTGAAGGAAGATGGCCTTGAATCTTCCCTTAACAACAGGAAACATACTTTTTTCCAAATAATCAATAATTCAGGTAAGCAGTGCTAACAATACAACTAGGAGTTACTAAATGTTATGCATGTTATGATAGTTCCTGGATATGGTTAAGGTATCCACCTTAATTGCATTTTCTCCAATTGCGCAACATTCATTTACTACTGCAATAGGAAAGTAGCTTCTCTTAACAGCAGCTTAGTCCTCATCTTAAAACACTAAATGGATTTCATAATACGTAGCAACTAGTGTTATTCAAGTCGGAACGGTTAAAGCTCACGACCAACAAGAACCCAAGCAAAAAAAAAAGAATCTATCAAAACCAAAAAAGGTTAATACCTGTCAGACAGCCCAGAGGTCACCCCAGCCGCGAGCGACTGAGAACGATCCTCTACTGCTCGAGCCATTGCTGAACCAGAGCTGTTAATCACGCTCTAACCTCCAGGCCTTCGGTCATCAACCAGGGATGGTTTCTGGTCTCTTGATAAATCAAGGATTCAGAGGTACGATCCTATAGAACAGATCCTGTTCAAGTAAGGTCGTGACCAATGTTCTCATCTTCCTCATTTTATTCATTGTTTCCGGTCTACTGTCTTCCGGTGTGGGAAAGGGAGCATAATCTGTCCGCTGAGTTACGACTAATGATCACGAATTAATTAAAGCCTTTGGGCCTCCATAGAGCCATACGCCCATACTGAGATGTGGGCCTGATTATCTGATATGAGTTTGTTAGATAAATTGGACACTTAGTTGAATAAGAGAGATATACAGTGTTCGTGTTTGCTTTTGCGAAGCAACATACTCAGTGATTATAGAAATATTGTCCACGGGTCAAACATTTTTTTTGGTACTTCTAAAGAGGCCATTTCTATTAGAAGAAAAAAGAATTATAAGTCTTCCATGAGTTCCATCTCAAACTTGAGTTATAAAATTGACTTTTTTGGATCGAATAGATTCATTTTTCACTTAATTAGAAATTAATTAATTCTAATTACATTTTAATTTGGATTTCTCAACTTTAGAATGATTTTAATGTAGTTTTTGAATATATAAATTCTAATAATCAAAATTTGAATTAATTATCAACAAGGAGAATTGATTTTATTATTGGATGACAAAAATGTTGACTTTGTAATATATGATTATATTGAGTAAATTATTAAATGAATTACTAATATCCAAAAAAAAAGTTACTTTAGCATTTATGGATTTATCTTCATGTCTGAGAAAATCTTCATAGAAGTAAGTATAACAATCTAAAAAGTTTTATTGTTATTTAGCTAACAAGTTAGAGTGGGGATTCTGAATAAGTTGGGGATGTTTGAAACTGATTATGTTTTTGCTTCTTTTCTAATAAAAAGTAAAATTAGTTTTCAAAAGTTAATCTTCCCAATTTTTAGAATATTGTTTCTTTAGAAGTATTTCTGCACATTGTCTGACCACTCTTATATCACCTGAACAAGTATTCAAGTTTCAATAAATAAATTCAAACACCCCTTAGTCAGTGGCGGAACCAGGACTCGTGACCCGCAGGGGCACAATAACAAAGAAATCATATACTCCCTCCGTCCCGGGGAGAAGTTCCCGAGTTGACTTTCACAAATTTTTAGGAAATAAAGTTACCGAGGGGTAAATTTTACTCTTTTGCACTGTTTCGACACTGTGTGGCACTATTTCGACACTATATGACACTGTTTTGCACTGTTTGACATTGTTTTGATGTAGAATAACTTTCCATTTAGGGAAATAGGAAGTTTCTTTTGGGACATCCAAATAAGGAAAATGAGAACTTGTTTCCGGGACGGAGGTAGTACTACTCTAACAAAAATCATATGCATCGCATATATATCAATAAACAAAACTATAAAATTTAAATAAAACAACTACTAAAATAGCTAAACGCAGGGGGTTGAGTTGGGCGTTCGGACTTGGCCTTTACTCTTTAGGCTTTTGGGGACTTGGGCTGCGGGCTGCTCCAGAAAGATTTCTATGCTTGGGCTGGCACAAGAGAAAGGTTAAGGTAAAGGACTTTTGGGATTGGGCTGCAGGTACTCAACTAATGAAATATAAATATATGTATATATATATTATAAAAAAACAAAAATACCGCAGGTGCACGGGCACCTCCGGGCACTGGGCTGGTTCCGCCCCTGCCCTTAGTAGCAAATGCATGTCCTTAATAGCAAAAGTAGAGAGAATAAATGCACTAATCACTTCTCCGCATCATTCTATTGTTATCGTATACGACAATAGATGTACTAATCTTATAATAATACGAATGTTATAACGATATTACAATAATCACAATATGACAAGTAGTATAAATTTAGTACAAATACAAAAGTTGAACAATATGATACATTATAATCACTATTATAACATTATTATTCCAAGTAAACGATAATATTAAATAATGTAACTAATGATGCACCAATATTATTATACGAACGTTATAATAATATTACAATAATCACATATGACAAGTAGTATAAATTTAGTACAAATACAAACATAGAACAATATAATACATTAATCACTATTAAAATATTATTCCAAGTAAACGATAATAAATAATCCCACTGTCCCCTTTTAAATGTCACGTTTTACTATATTGGGATGTCCCTATTTAATTGTCTCATACCTTATTTGGTAAAGTTTGTGTGGCTCAAAATCATTCTTACTTTATTCTTACTTTATCAATTACTATCAACCACACAAACTCATTTTTCTTAAAACTCGTGTCACCCTCTTCCGGGACATTTAAAAGGGGACGGAGGGAGTATATGAATGCATGAACTTACGTCATATTAATATTACAACATTACAAAAATAGTTACAAAAATGATAAGGGAAAAATAATTCAAATACCCCAAACTTATGAATGTAATATAAATATTTTGAACTTTATATAAAAAATTATGTTAGCGTCATGATCATATGATTTTTCTTTCACAAATATAAATTTATGATGCTAAATAAATAATTTACATATATTCAGCATTTATGAGAGTGCAATTAACATTCTATTTAGAATGTTATTTAATTTGTACCCTCATGAATTCTAAAATATTTTAAATTGTGTACTTAACATCATATGTTTACATTTTTGAAAGAAAAAATATATGATCATGGTGCTAAAATAATTTTTTATATAAAGTTCAGGTTATATATTACATCTACAATCTTTCAAAAAAAATTACATATACAAGTTTAAACTATTTACATCACACCCCATTCAAGTTATATTTAAATTATTTCCGCCTAATAGTAATATAACATGTATAATGTTCACACAAGTACAAATGATGTCAGTTAGTATACACTAAGCACTATTATAAAAATATTATAAATATGATAATATAGTTACTTATAATATAAAAATAGCAAAAAAATACTATGTATGTGTACTGTGAAAATAGAATTAGTTACTTAATTATAATATTATAAAAATATTATACATATGATAATATAGTTACTTATAATATAAAAATAGCAAAAAAATACTATGTATGTGTACTGTGAAAATAGAATTAGTTACTTAATTATAATATTATAAAAATATTATACATATGATAATATAGTTACTTATAATATAAAAATAGCAAAAAAAAATAGTATGTACGTGTATTGTACGGAGAAAAAATAGCAAATATAGTATACACAAAAATCAATACTTATATATATATATATATATATATATATATATATATATATATATATATATATAGATAAGAGATCACATACTAACCATGCTTAAAATACTAACTTACTAACTCAATAATATGCAACACATTAAACTTCAATATGCAGTACAAATAATGTAAAGATGCACACTTTGAATTTCAATATGTAATAAAAACAATATGCAAAACTTTGAACTTTAATATGCAGTACAAATAATATACAACACTTTGAACTTCAATATGCAGTACAAATAATGTAAAGATGCACCGTTTTTGATAGTTTGTAGGTTAGCATGGGAGGAATGGTTAGTATGTGATCTCACCCTCTATATATATATATATATATATATATATATATATATATATATATATATATATATATATATATATATATATATATATATATAGGGGAGGGTTCCTGTGAGATAGAGCTTCCAGGAGAGGAAAAAAGAACAACATATGTCCGTCCCTTGGTGCAAACGAGCGGCTAAGATAGATCAATTTTAGCAATTAAAAACGCACATGATGCGTCCGTGTGGGATTAAAAAAAACGAGGTGTGCATTTAGAAGGCCATGAAAGGGTAAATGGGTAAAACACTATGGTGCTTAATTATGGTGGTTGGCACGCACGAGTTCCTATGTAAAACTCTCTTTTATTTCTCTAATTAACTTTCCCTATAATTACGGAGTTTAATTATGAAGCATTGATTTTTTTTAACTATCGCATGATTTTTTACTTGGAAGTTTTCAAGTAATTAGTAAAAGTAACTCTCCACATCAAACTCCCACACATCCCCCCCCCCCCCCCAAATATGCACTTTTTAATATTTGAAATTAAATTACTTCCTCATAAATATCCAACACTAGTACTCAATTTTAGTACGTATGTCAAAACGTTTGCATTATATTTTTATGCACTTTTATTTGAAACACTCTGTATACGTTAAATCACACGACTTGCACTCCAGTATAGATTAGCCGCACTTTTATATTATGCAATATTAGGTTAATTAAATATTGTATATTTAATTAACTGCACCTATTTAATGTTGTATACACACCCAAATTTTCCTTAAATATTTCGATGGCACAAATAGTAATTTAAATAATCACCTTCATCAATGAAACGAACATGAAGAGAAATGTCATTTTATTACATTAGTTTGCAATTTTGAAAGTTACACATATATGTACGTTATTAGCTTGCACGTTTTACCAATTATACTACACTTTAGGCATGCAAATGCGCACTTTCATACATTTTTAAATAAAAACGATTTTAGATAAAATGAAAATAAATATACAAGAGAATTAACAACTATCATGTGCATGAATTAGTTTTCAATTTTGAAAGTTACACGTTTATGTTATTAGCTTGCATGTTTTACCTATTATACTGCACTTTAGGCATGCAAATGTGCACTTTCATACATTTTTAAATAAAAACGATTTTAGATAAAATGAAAATAATATACACAGGTGTGAATTAACAACTATCATGTGCATTAATTATATAGAAAAGTGCACTATGAAATCATACTTTCTAAGTTATACAACGACACTTTTTAAAATGAACTGTCATGTGCAATTATATACATACAAGAGTGCACTAATATATCACTTCCTACATAAGCACTTTTTATAAAATGAAATGCACTTTTTCTTCCGAACGCATCATAATTGTTTCATTGCCAAGGTGTCTTCTTATCGACATGCAATCCACATATGCCACTATAAGATCTTGTTGTAGGGACAATGTATATCATTCATGCCACTTAGATGGTTGATCTTATTATATTCCTTTCTTGGTGAATTCCTTACAGTGTAGTCAGAATCATAAAAAATGCAACATATATATCTTACGAGTGCATATAAAATTTATAGAGCATAATAATAAAATAGCAGTGCAAC